TTGTTCTATAAAAGATACTGTTAAAGAGGATGAAAAGACAAGCCACAGATTGGAGAAAATATTTGCAAGTCACATATCTGATTTAAAAAGTTGCATCCAGACTGTGTAAAGGCTGCTCTAAACTCAAGAGTGAGAAAACAAACAATTCAGTTAAAAAGCAGGCAAAGATTTGAACAGATTCTTCACCAAAAAAGATACACAGATGGCAAAAGAGCACACAAAAGGATGCTCGACACCATTAGTCACTATGAAAATGCAAGTTAAAGCCACGAGGAAATACCATTACACACCCATTAGAACAGCTAAAATGAGAAATGCTGACAGTGGAGGTGCTGGCAAGGATGAGGAGCAACTGTTTGTCATACGGGCATTGGTCGAAACGCAAAGTGGATGGACGGCCACTCTGGAAGATGATTGGCAGTTTCTTATAAAGATATATACAGTTACCATATGAACCAGCAACCCCACTGCTGGGTATTTACTACAGAGAAATGAAAACGTGTCCACGCAAAAACCCATACACGGATGTTCACAGCAGCTTTACTTGTCAAAGCCACTGCCAACATTTCTCTCTAAGATTTTTCTCCCTTCCTTAGGAACACATGCTTCTTCACCTCCCCAAATCCTGCCTCCTCCATCCCTCTAATGCATCCCCATTATTTTAGTGAAAAACGCCACATCCCCATCAAAGGGGACTTTAGTTTTAGCTGCAAGGCTTTCAGTAGAAAGACTCTAATGGTGTACTACTCGTCATTGAGTTTTAAAAATTGATGTCACTTTTCTTTTATTACAAATGATGAAATGTACAAGAGTGTAGGGAACAGGCACGTATTGGCTGCTCCCCATCTGGTCCGTGTCCTGTCCTCCCGCAGGCCAGGCCTGCCCCCTGAGCAGTGGGTCTCGTCCCTCCGCCGACTTCACCAAATTCCCTCTGGCCCTCTCTCGTTTCATCAGTTTTCCCGTTTCTAGCAAATCACTTCTGCAAGTAAGTTACAGATGAGATATTTTTCTCATCTTAACAAAAAAGGAGATCTCTCCTGAAATCCTGAGCCCTTTGCCCCCTCAGTGACAGCCCCACTTCTAGAAAGCAGTGTCTCTCCTCACTGTCTTCCATCTCTCTCCCCCTTTCTCTCTGGACTCCACTCAGACTTTCACCCCGTTGTTCCCGGCAAAGACCTCCCCTTGCCATAGGCACTGGGGCTGCTAGTCCTCCTCAGCACTGATTTGACAGGTGACCATTCTCTCCTCTTCTGGCACCTTCTTCACTGGCCTTCCCAGATGCTACCTTCTCCCGGCTTCCCTCCCACCTCGTTGGCCCTACTCCCTGGCCCTCCAGCATCCCTTCTCTGCTGGCTCCTCCTCACCCCCTGACCTCCTAAAGACACAGGGGCCCGGGCTCAGTTCTCACTTCTCTTTCTACTCTCCTTCCTCTGGTGCCCTCATCTAGGCTCGTGGCTTTACAGACTATATTTCATCTAATTTAAGAGGCCCTCAATGGTGAGCACGCCATTAAGTTCAAGTTCCACCACGGAAGAGAAAACACTGCCAATGAAACTCTTAGGTCCCACCATTCCAGTGCAGTTGTCCCTTTGTTCTCAGAGTCCCTGAACTGCCCTGGCGTGAGTGATGGTGCTTCTCTGGCCCAAGCCCCCTGTAGGGGAGTAGGGTTCAGCCTCTTCTCTCTATTCCTTCCTCCCAGTTCTCTTCCTCCACCTCGCCTGTGGGATCCTTGTATGGTCTTGGGGAGGCATCACCGGGCACCACGACCAGCCCTGCCACATATGACTGTGCACATCACGGCCTATGTGAATTTACTTTACTCCCCGGGGTTGTGCAGTGTACCATCTGCACAACTATATATTATTGCTTGACTTCACCCATTCTTCCAAATCATTTTTTTTTCTTTCGTCGTAGCGCCCTGTCCCAGACTTTTGAAACTTAAGAGTAAGAATGAGACGTTAGTTCTGTACATTCTTCCCTGTCATCCCTGAAGCGATGGCTATATTCCTGGGCTTTGCTCCAATTGGGCACCACTGAGCTCATCCTCGTGGCTAGAAGATCCATTCCCTAACTGACATAAGCCTGGGACCCAATCCTGGAAGCAGTCACAGTGGCAAAGGGTGGCTTTCTCTTGTTTTGCTTAACCCAATCAAAACTCCCCCTGGGTGTGGGGGTGGAGTCAGTCCCAACCAAATGGCAAGGCCGCTACTGGGGGATGGTTAGAATGAATTTCGGGGACACCTGGGGGTCTACTCCATGGGGTCAAAGGCAGGTGAGGTCTTTCAGAGATGGAAGAGACAGGGGCCTGTGTTTCGGCCATGGAGAGGAAAAAGTTAAAGATGCTGGAGGGAAAGGGCCAATATTTGATTGGGCACGAAATCCTAAAGAAGAAGTGAGGATGGGGTGAGGGGGAGGGGCCAGATTGCAGGGAAAGGATGATCTCCTGGGTGGGAGGGTGGTGAAGAGACCTATTTGCTCAAGGGAGGGAAGGACTGTGAGGGTCGGCCCCTGCCGCCCTCGTGTCCCTGTGTAGGAGAAGCGCTGTCTGTGGAGGCGTCGGTGGCGTGTGCAGCTTCATGGTCCTTTTTGGGAAGTGCCAATGGGTAATCCTAATCGACTCTTTCCGTTAGTTAGAATTATTACTGTAAGGGACCCATCACTTCAAGGCTAGGATTTTGATTTTCTTCGCAAATGAATAAAAGTACCTCTCCCTCGCACACGTCTGCAGAATTTAGGAGAACACATCATGAAGTAAGGGGATGTGTGTGCAAAGATTCTTTAAAAGTCCTTTGTGGGAATCCACGTGGCCTGGTGGTTAGGGATGTCGGCTCTGACACCATGTGGCCTGGATGCACATCCGGGCTCTGCAACCTTGGGCAGGCTCCTGGCCCTCTCTGTGCCTCAGTTTCTTTGCTAGAAAGTGAGGATGATGTCGCTATCTTCCTCGTGGGGCTATTTTGAGGGTCAGAGGTTATAATACCTGTGCATGTTCAGGAGACTGACTGGTATGTATTAGACACTCTTAAATGGGAGCCGTCAGTGTTTATAAGAATCCTATGACACGCTAGAATGCACTGTCTGCAGGCTGTGCACTGCCTTTGGGAGTGAAGCTTATTTATTTTCCTAATTCAATGAAACCTAAATTTTTACAGTGCTATTTTCATTGGGGAAACAGCACACAGATGTTTAAAAAATGTTTTCCATGTAGCCACATTGAAAATGTCATCATTGATTCCTTTCTGCTGGAATATGCAGAAATGAGCCAGCTTAAAGAGATTCTGCTCTAGGACACCCCACATTAACAATCATGGGAGTGGTATGACAGGCCTTAGTGAACCTCTCTATTTATTAATATATCAAGAATGGTCTCTCCCTTCTCCCCGCTTCCCGGCCCAAACGAGAAAGGCTCTGGATGGAAGCTCCATCAGGAGTTCAGGCCCAGCATTCATGGGAATATCAATGCAACACTGTCTGAGAGGACCTGGTTCCACTCTCCTTCTATGCTGTGGCTCAAATTGCTGTGTTGGGAGGAGGCCCAGCTTCGTGTCAAAGGCCTTGCCCTGGAATATTCTGGAAGGCTCCCTGTAACAGTGTTGCTGAGGGAGAACCCACAGCTCCAGCGCTGACATCTCCGGCAGGGCACGTCCGGCAGGAAGGCGTGGCTGCCCCTGGGGGCCTGCATTTCCCAACCAGTTCAAATTTCTTTAATTCATTCCGGGTGTTTTTTTTTAATTACTATTTTCTCAGTTCCTCCATGGATTAACGAGCTGACTTCATGAAAATCTTCATAAATAAAGTAAAGGCTGGCTTTCCACATATAGGACAGAAGTAACAGCCCACATCCCCGGCTGTAATGGCCCCTGCTGACTCCTGGCATCAGTGCGCGCTTCTCCTGGGGCTGCCAGACCCCTATTGCCTGAGACGCGTCCCTTGAGGACAACACAAGATGTGGCTGAAGCCACGTCTTCAGGAAGCTCATGGGGCCACTGCCCATCCCTACTCTCCACTCTCCCCCTACAGGAAACACACTGCCGTGAATTGCACAAGAGAGCTCTTTCTAAATGCCAGAACACCATCAGGCTTTCCACTTTTCTGGAAAGAAAGCCCCCAAAACTGCAAGAAATAGGATTATTTGGCCAATTGGCTGATACACAACTTTCACTGGGAGCTCGGATGACTTGGTATTGCCTCATTAAAAAATGCCCTGATTTTCCCATTGAAAGAAGGGAGATATGGTAGGATTTTTTCCCTAAGATGAATCCGGCTATAAATGGAAACCGGGTCTCCGGACCCCTCCAGGGTGGGGTCGCCTGCACACAGAGGCCTCTGGCTTGGGTCTTCCATCCTCCTCCAACACGGGATTTCCTTATTTTCTCTACATCCCTTAGGGCTATCAGAGATGGCCTGCATAGTAGCAGGCACTAAGTCAGAAAAGCTTTTGAGGGCACCAGTGTTCACCCATGGCCTTGAGGGTGTCACCCTCCAGAAACCAGTTGGCCAAGTGCAATCACAGCCGCCCTTCTTGGCTTCTTGTGAGGTTGCTGAGCACCACGTGGATCCTGTTCTCTTCCATTGCCTCTCAGAGTTAAAAACGCAGGAGCTGTGGAAGCACCCCACCCCCGGTGGCATTCCAGAGAAAATGAAGGCAGAGGCTACCCCCTGTTCTTGTATGTAAACATTCACCACCAAGTTTTTTTTTAATACTTAGCACTTTTTTTTTTTTTTTGGTGAGGAAGATTGACCCTGAGCTAACATCTGTTGCCAATCTTCCTCTTTTTTTTTTCTCCCCAAAGCCCCAGTACATAGTTGTATATCCTAGTTGTAAGCCATTCTGGTTCTTCTACGTGGGGTGCCGCCACAGCATGGCTTGATGAGCAGTGCATAGGTCTGCACCCAGGATCTGAACCAGCAACCCCTGGGTCTGCAGAGTGTGAGAACTTAACCACTGGGCCACCGGGCCAGCCCCTCACCAACAATTTTTAACAGTTCGATTGGTATACCTTCATTTCATTCCTTGGGACTTTGATATTCAAGTCTGGCTTATTCTTGAAGCCTGAAAGATGGAGAGAAAAGATTTTGTAAGTCACTTAATCCTGAAACAGGGCACATACCCTCCTAATCAACAGCGTTGAAGTGATGATGATTTTAGATCCCAGGATTTATTTTATCAGAGGAAGATAGGCAGAAGAAAGCATGCAGGGAAAGAAGTGCGACCAGGACAAAGAAAAGCCAGCCTCCTTAAGGAACAGAATCCTCCCTTCCTCTCCCTTCTTCTCCCTTCCCTGAAATGCCTTGAAAGGAGCAAGGGTTTCAGGCACAAGCTTGGCCACACATGCCAAAATCTCAGTGTACATTTGAAATTCAAATGCACACGAGAAGCACGCATTTGACTTTTCAGTTCTCAATCTCCTAAATAAAGCATTTCCCTTGTACGGGCTCCAGGGGCTCCATGTGAGGTCAGTGTTTGGGTCTCTTCGCCAGGCTCAGGGAGGCTGCTCTTCCAGGAAGGGCTGCAGAGACCCTGGGAACCGGACCAGCCCAGCTCACAAGTATGAAGAGAATGTCGGGAGAGGAAGTGGCGGCTGTGAGTCAGCATGAGTCATCTCGTTCCAATGAGAATGAAGACTGAGGTGTGCGCCTTTTTTTTTTCTTCTTCTTCTTCTTTTTTTTTTTTTTTGGTCTCAATCGTGGGGACATCATTGGGAATGGAGGGAAATCAGTGACTGTATGGTCGTTGCTTTTTAAGTTTCCAACTGGCGTTCCAGGCAAGCCGTGCCTGAGCCGGTGTCTGCCGTGAGATCTTCAGAGCACGGTTCCTGGGAAGGTAGAACCATTAGCTTCTCCCTGGTGAGTATATTTCTGTCATTTTCCTGATCATTTCTGCAGTTTGCCTCCAAGCCTCAGCTGTGGGAAAGCTGTGGCATCTTGGAGTGGACCCTGTGTTTCGTTCAAACTCTGAGGATCTGTAATTTTAGAAAAGTGGCTGTTTCTGCCCCCACCCCCTTAGCTACCGTGGTTTGGGCTGATTGTCTGGAGAAGTTTCTTAGTTGTTCATTGTGAGAATGTAGATGCTTGTTGTACGTTATGTTGTCTTGGAAGAGACAGGGATGCTGGACTGGAAAATAAGCTGCTTGGGGCTCTCTGGAGCCGAAGTGAAGTTCAGAGATGGAGGTGGATGAATTTGTGCTAACCCACGGGTGCTGAGGTTGGGCCAGCTTCCGCTTCTTGGAGGTGGAGGAAAGACAGCCCCTGAGCAATTTCTGGCCGTGTGATCTGAGTTACCCAGTTTTGGTACAAGAAATATAATAGGCAGAATTTTGACTTCTCTCTCGAAAAGCGTATGAATGATTCTGGGAACTTTTTTATGTGTTCTCCTTTTCCTTAACGCTGAATGTCACAAACCGTGGTAAAATCGGAAAGAAGATAAGCTGGGGGCTGGGGGCAGGGGGCGAGGATGGGGTAGCTGAGTCGTTGGGGCCTGATCTGACCTTGATATGTGTTTCTCAGGCTGTTACTATTCTGATGAAACTTGGCTTTACTGTCAAGTAACATACAGGAAACATTTTTTTTTTTAAATGTCATTCTAGTTACTGTAAGTGAAACGGTTAAAATGTCATAAATACCTTATGATAAACATTTTCTGAATTTGCTTAAAAACCTGCACATCAGCCAGCAGAGTATGACAGGGAGCTTTTTCAGTATAGTCATTTGAGTGCGTGGGCTTCCTGGGTTAATAATGAGTCAGCAGCCAATTTCTAAAATTGGAAGAGCTAAGAGAGCCTTTGCTCTGGCCCCCAAGCACAGCACGGTGGCTGGCTGGCCCCTCTAGGAGGATTTGGCTGTTTGGTCTTTGATTAAAATCAGCTTTAGATGCTTCCCCTGTTTGGGTGACCTGCTCTCAGCTTCTGTCCCAGCTCCTCTGCATGCAACTGAGAGACCTCTCTGCTAAGGGGTCCCTCTGCCAGGACCATCTCCTTTGGCTGATGTTGACAATTTTCAGGTTTTGCCTTGACAGAACGGGTTAAGTACATGGTTTGTTAAATAAAAAATCCAGGGTTTATGCCGGGCAGGGGCGGCGCAGGCCCGAAGCTGCAGTGAGCGTCCTGTGATGTCACAGTCGCCAGGGATCGAGCGGGAGAGGAGGTCATGGCTTGAGATTCAAAGCGGGCATTCTGCGTGTGACACGTAGCGTGGGAAGACTGTCGGCTTAAAATCAGAGAGCAGGATTCCGAGGAAGAAAATCTCCCTCAGAGCTTACTCTCTTTATCTATCAAGGGAGAGGAACGTCAAGAAAATTAAAAAAGAAAAATGCATGGGGTTGCAGGCTGGCAGCTCAAGGGCCAAATGCCATCAAACAGAATGCACCCCCCACTGAGGTCTGTTCGGCCCACCCAGGATTGGTTTTCTGACGGCAGATGACGGTGGGTGGGCTCCCATGCTCCCCCATCACGGGCCCTGCTGAGCCCCTAGTCACAAGGCTCCGATAGAGGGGAGGCTCTGAAGCCAGGCCCACCAGCTCGAATCCTGCAGCTCGGACCCCAGGAGCCTCCTGCTTCCAGGCTGGAACGCTGCCTCCTGCAGAGGGCCGCTGGGAGGGCCCGGAGAGCTGGCCTCTGCCAGGTGCTGAGAACAGCGCCTGGATCCAGAAGGGACCCCATCCACGTCAGCTCTACCAGCTTCTCTTCTTACCTGGCTCTGAAGCTGTTGGGGCTTGCAGCCCTTGAGTTGGCGCCATGACTTTTGCAAGCAAGATCCTGCAATTCCAACGTCGTCATCGCTTGTCCCGCGGCTGAGGGTCGCAGCCACGCAAGTGTCAACTCGGAGCCTCAGCAGGGCAGACACCAGGGTTTTCCAAGGCGGGAGACCAGCCCAGTCCGCCTCTCTGGGTGAGTCATCTTCTTAAGTGCTCAGAGAAATGCCACCTTCATGGAGAGAAGAGCCCGTAAAAGGCGGAATGCCTTGGACGGTGCCTCAGCAGTTTGTGCACACAGCACCTTCTCTGGTCCCCGTTTCAGGGGAGCACCGGGTGTTGGATGTGTGTTTATCACTGGGTCCCGTCTTTAAATTCTCCTGGAGAAGCACTGTTGGGCAGTGTTTTGAGGTGGCTGACTTTATCCCAGGCATTGGTTGTATTCTCTCATGTGGAATTCGGGCAGTTGTATGGATGCTGGAAGTCCACTTGCCTCTCACCCGTGAGAAATAAGGCTGTGGCCAGCTGATATCATCACTTTTGTAATCAGGAGAGTCATTTGAAAAGGCCAGAAATAAAGCCCAGGACATGTCTGAAAACAGAGCATTTATTAATTTGCTTTGCTGCATTGTCATTTTTCCGCCTACCAAAGGGAGATGATTCTAAGTGTAGATGCAGGCAAGGAAGAAAGGGGGAAGCACTCTCTGATAGAAATTGAGCAGATATTTTATTTTGTTTTATTTTATTTTTTTACTGAGGAAGATTAGCCCCGAGCTAACTTTTGTTGCCAATCTTCCTCTTTTTTTTTTCACTTGAGGAAGATTAGCCCTGAGCTAACATCTGTGCCAATTTTCCTCTACTTTATATGTGGGATGACACCTCAGTGTGGCTGACGAGTGGCGTAGGTCTGCGCCTGGGATCCGAACCCGTGAACTCGGGCTGCCAAAGTGGGGTGCACCAAACTTAGCTACTAGGCCATGGGGCCGGCCCCTGAACAGATATTTTAAAAGGACATCTACCGTAAACAGAGGATGCTGACAGTTTGATGACATTTGGAAGTTGCCCAGTGCCCTGTAGTCACAGCATCCCCAGCCTGGGGACCAGCCCATGGCTTGCTGGCCCTGTCTCCCACTCTCCACCCCTCATCTGTAGCCCGACCTGGGCTCTCCTTACTTCCTGCCGAGAGGTTTCCATGGTACCCGACATGTGTCCCCACCTCCGGTCACTGAGTAGCAAGTTCACCCTCATGGTGAGCAAGTTACTTAATGTCTTGGCTCCACGTTCCTCATGGTAGAAGGGGGATGAGGATAGTACCGGCCTCGTGTGTTTGTGTAAAGATCAGTGATGATTTGCACTCAAGTTACGAGGAAACTCAAGAACTGTCAGGTACATATTCACTGATTCAGATATATAAGCAGATCCCTTGGCGTGTCTACCTGGGCCCTCTCTTGGGGGCATCCAGAAAGGATTGGCTCTCATGCCCCTGAAGGGAGATCCCACCTGTGTCATCAATTACACGGCATGTTGTGCATTCACAGGACATTGATTGATTTGGCAAATGGGAAATGCTTCTTGGTTCTCTCCCGGAAAACCTGGGGTTCTAGATGTCATGGACATCATCATCATCATCAGCAGCAGCAGCATTGCTGTTGTTAACATCGTCACAATAAGAACAGCTCCCAGTTTATTCAGCCCCAACCACACGGTAGTGACCTTCCACGCATGACCTCCAACCCCCTCCCCTCCAACATACACACACGCCCACCCTAGGGGAGAGGAAGGATGGCGGGTACTCGCCTCACTTGTGGTCCAGGACTCCCAGGCAGGTGGATCAGGCAGAGCAGCTGCTTCAAGGAGTGCATCCAGGACAGGGGAGCCCCTTGCTCCCATCAGGAGAGGAGAGTCAGGAAGAGCAGGACCCAGGAGGGTTCTGCTTGTGTAATCCAGGAGGCTGAGGCCTCAGGCCAGAAAATCCAGGACTACCGGCCCAGACTTGCTCCCAGGGTGGAAGCAGCTGGATTCTGTACTCACGCTTCCTGTCTAAAGCCAGCTACAGTCAACTTCTGGTTATTTGAAAAATCATCACAGTACATGGAGCTGACTCATATTGAAAATATTAAGTAAGATACACTTAAAACTAAAACCAGGGTAAATAGAACATGGCCTTTCCTTGCCAATTCCGAAGATAATTCAAGGTCAGGCAGTACCTCAGAAGGAAGCATTCACACTCTTTCTGCAGGGGTCCCGCAGAAGTCCCAACTGTGTCCTTTCGCTCAGTCTGCCTTCTCTGGCCAAAGCAAGGCACCGAGGGCCTCATGCATCTCCTCTCTGGGCGTTTAGACGTGGAATGCTGAGCACTGGTTGTCCTGCTGGTCAGTTGTAAGTGGTGCTAATTTGCGGAGTCTTTCCTGCAGTGGCTCCTCTGCCATAATCCAGACGACCCCCCTGCCCACAGTGCCTGGGCCAGGCGGTGGTATGCTTGGCCAGGGCTGCGAGGCAGAGATGGGGCTCCCCACAGGGTCAGAAGGGTTCTGGTGGGGCCACAGAGCTCAGGCGAGGAGAAGCCAACACCAGCTCAGAGGGGAGTGGGGCCTACATGGAGGAGGAATGGGTGGGAGGCCTGGTCTCAGAGGAGTTCTCTGATAAAAAAATTGGTTCATTGCACCTTGTATAATCGGAAAAGCTAATGGTGCCGGCACATCTTCTCCACTGTGGCTTTCCTGCTTATCTTTTGCCTTCAGAATTGATTACCTAGCAAGTGAGGGTTTCTGCTGTGGGACTTTTAGCCCCTCCCTCCATCCTGCCCTGTTGAAAATTTATCATTCTTAAAATATTGGAATTTTTAATGTTGGCAGAAATGTTATTTTAACTGTTCTCACTGGACAAATTATTTGTAGAGTGTGAGAGGAATGCAGGGGTTTCTGTCAATTCAGCAGTATATAAAGGAAAACTTTACAAAATAGCAGTGGCTCCAATAAGTGTCAGGCTTACTTTCTTTCAGACAGAAAAAGACAGGAAGCAGGCTGTCCAGGGTGAGGGTCAACAGGCAGCCAATTCGTCCCTCTCCCTGCTCTGCCATCTTGGCATTGGCTTCCTTCCTCAAAATTGTCTTATGGTTTCCAGAAGGCTGCTGGAGCTCCAGTCATCACCATTGCATTCCACATAGGAGGAAGGAGGGAAGATGAGGGGCAAAAGGTTAAGCATCCTAGATGTCAGGCTCATTTAAAGAGCTTTCCTAGAATCCCCAACCAACCCTTTCAGCCTACATCTTTCATGGCCACCTGTTCTGTAAAGGAGCCTGGGAAGACAGCTAGATTTATACGTTACAGCCTTCTTGGTCCTGTGAATGGACTCGGGGACAAGTCAGCTACTCTGTGACCAGGGTCTGCTTTGTGAAGTAACCACATTGCTCTCATGAGAGGTATCAGAGGGCAGAGACTGTGCCTTCGAGGGCTTTGAACAACTTGGAGGAGGGCGTGCAAAGGGACAGAAATCACTTGTTTGATTTTTGGATTAATCCAAATTCGATTTCTTTTCATTCATGCATTTAGCAAATATTTACCATTTACCCAATAAAATAATGATACTTCACACACTGCTGTGTTTATGGAGCTCCTGCTTGGCGCCGGGTACCGTTCTGGATGCTTTGCAAACACGACCTCCCTCAGCCCTCACAGAGCCGTGTGTGGCAGGTCATCATTACCATCTCTGTCCAGACGGGGACCCAGAGGGTTGGGGGGGGCGGCTGAGGTCACTCTGTTAGTCAGTGGAGGTGCTCAGCTGTGAACCCTGTGGCCGGTTCTCCCACCCAGGGACGTGGAGGCGAGCAGGCAGGCCAGGTCGCTCCAAGCCACGTCTTCCTGGTGAATAGACAGCAGCCCGGTGACCTGGAGGCGGGTGCGGGTGGCGGGGGAACCCTCGCTCCTGCAGCGCCTCGGTCCAGAAGGGGCGCCCGGCAGAACCAAGTCCCAGCGGAGCACTCCTCCCCACAGGGGACACACCAGACATCTCGGCTGTCTGGGCTCATGACTCGGCCTGGGCCTCGAGGCCAGCTCCTCCAGGGCGCTTGGGACCCCGAGTCAGGACCACGCCCAGCCCGCCCGGGGTGGGAGCAGCAAGGAAACCGTCTAGACCTGTCTGCGAAGGCTGGGCCCCATCCCTGCAAAGAGCGGAAGGGCTGAGGGAGAAGCGGACGGTTCCAAGGACCTGGGGTTGAGTCACGTGATTCAACCTGATGAAAAGCCAGAGAAGGTGAAACTCATGCTCCGCCCCACACTACCCTCTGTGTCTGGCGGCACAGTCAGGGCCACAGGATGCTTGAGGACGGATGGATGGGGCGGGCATGGGGGGCTTGTTGCTATTCCACTTTAGACCTAAGTCCCTTCCAGTGCTTTCCTTGCTCTGCACTATCTCAGGACCTTGCTTCACACTTCCATCTTCCTCCTCCAGCTCCTTTACAGGCAGGGTGGCCAATGAAGCACATAGGCTGCAATGGGTGGTCGGGGATTCTAGGAAAGCTCCTTGAAAGAGCCTGATGTCTAAGAGGCTTAACCTTTTGCCCCTCACTTTCCTCCTCCCTCCTGTTTGGAATGCAGAGGTGATGGCTGGAGCTCCAGCAGCCTTCTTGAAACTGTAAGACAGTTTGGAAGAAGGAAGCCAGTGCTAAGGATGGCACAGCAGGCAGGTGGTCACAGGCCTTTGGGAGACCAGGCACTTTGCCTGGAGATGTGACTATTTGGGGACTGAGTTTTATCTGTGTGACGCAGAGGGAGGAGGGAGAAATCACCGCTAAATTTCAATGTGTAGGTCAACTAGGAGGGTCTGTGGGGGTCTCAGGGTCTCTTCTGTGTGGAGCCACCTTTCATGTCTCTGGTGTAAGGGGCAAGGGCCCAGGGTTGCATAGTGGCTTCCAAGGACCCCAGGTGCTTTTGCCTTCTTGGACCCTTCCTCACGAGAAGACATATTACAACTGTCTTGGTATAAAGATGAAATCATCCAGGCTGGATTCATTATTATATATTCATTTTCATTATATTTAGGTTTTTCTTCTGACTTTAAAACAAACTAAAACATTTTAGTTGAAGAGTGTTGTGGGCCCCAGGCCCTGTCCTCTCTGTGCCCAACGCGGAAGTTGGTCATGGGAGGGCCTTGTAATGTAGAAGGCAAGCTCATCCTTAGAGGGGTGGCCTCCGGCCTGCGGGGGGTCCATGGCAGCCCCTCCCAGGACGGCAGACGCGCTGGGCGTCTTGGTGTCGTCAGTGCGCCTCCACGCCTCAGCCCTCACGGCAGCTCTGGAACCCGCCACACGGATTTTCAGGGAGGTTCGTCTATCCTGCGCCCATTTTTTATTCCATTATCCCTTATTCCCTTATAATTGCTCTATTGATTTGTTTAATAGGCATGAATTTCAGTCTGCAATGATAAGGTATCAAAAACACAAACAC